CTATTAAAGATTACTATATACTTACTTATCCTTTTGGTACTTATAGAAAGTGCTTCTAGTGCTTTTATTGGGTTGGTGAATTGAAAACTGCGGGCTATTGTCATATGTGACAGTTTGAGCACTTTCTTCAAAAGAAACCCATTTTGGTGTCAATGGAAAAGTTGTAGAGAATCAAAAATCAAGCTTGTATCCAAATTTTCAGAACGATTCAAAAACTGGTTTTCAAGAAATGCGAAATTTACGAAACTTTCACAAAACTTGCATTTTAAGCGAAACTACTAAGTGTATCTTTTTGGAAATTTGGCTATAAGCCTAATTTTTGATTCTCTACAACTTTTCTATTGACACCAAAATGGGTTTCTTTTGAAGAAAGTGCTGAAACTGGGACATCTCCAGTCCTCGATTTTTGAGTCTCACACTTGTCTCACACACAAACCAAAATCCTACTACGAAAGAGGAATCCGCAAATTGCCTATAAAATGGGCAGAAGTCGTCAATAATAATGGAAATTATTTGGAATGAATTGATCGTTTTATGTTGAATAAATTTTAGTTCAAAGTTCCCGCAGGTTTCAATTCACCAACCCAATATTACTTGAACAGTTGAAGTTTTGATTATTCTAATCTTTCAAAATCAATCATTTCCTCAGAACCCCTAAACTGCAACTATCAAATTGTCTTAACACTCAGGATTTTCTCCATGTACGGGCTTTTTTTTAAAAGTTAGGCGAAACGGGGGTAACGTGAAACCACGTCACCGATTGAGATCGGCGAAAATTGAAGAGTTGCGTTGATCAGGGTCGGCAAAGAATGATCGGAGACAAGTTGAGAGAAAGGGAAAAGGGGAAATGTTCTCTAATGAAAGATGATATCAAAATCTTGTGGATCATTTCACAAATTGAAGAATGTAGGGTGTAAAGGAACGAAACATAGAGAACATTCTCTGCTTTAGTCCCTCTGTAGTCTAATGCTCTTGTTTTACAAGCTCGAGTTTGAATGATTGATCAAAAATAGTCGATTATTAGTCAAAAATCGTTCATAACGATTGAATTTTATCCAAAAAAACCCTTGATTTCCTTTGGTTTTTGACTTTAATCTAGAGTTTTTGGGTTACAAGTGAAAACAGAAGTACTTTTCTACTACTCTTTTCTCTTTTCTCTTTCTACTACTCTTTTCTCAAGTTTGTAAACTGATTTAACACTTGCTTCACCTAGAAAAAAGACCAGTAATCTTTATTTTCCAAATCCCTGATCTTTCCTCTTGGAAATTTCTTTCGTTATACCCTTCTCCTTTTTTCATGACCATTATCAAGAGATTGGAATCCAGATCGAATCGGAGAATTCCCTCTCTCTGCCTCTCTTTCTTTCCCAATCTCGTGTCGGAGATCCTTTTTTTTGCTCGTGCTCCTTTGTGTGACGTCACACAGTCCAAAATCATTTCTTGCTCGGAACTGATTTTCAAAGAGAGCTCTGAAACAGTTTTCCCGCATCTTGTGCTGAATTTTCTTTTTGTGCAAATCGGTGAAAAGATCGTGAACAATGGATGTTCTTGAGGTAATCTCTGGTGTCATTTCTTTATCTTTTTTTTTAATAGAATGACAGCTAACTAACAAATAATAGGCTAAACTAATAGAGTTCAATTTTCATCAGTAAATCTATCAAAAAACAAATCATTAGAAATCATTAAAGTCATTAGAAGTTCTCTAATTCTTATTATTTAATCAACACGTGAAAAATTCGATAATTACTTCCTCATTTTTGCCTATTTTCTTATCAGAAAGCTAAAATTGGGTGGTAAAGCGCTTCTCACATTCACAAAGACTTTTTGAGTAGTGATCATTTTCAAAATGTTTTCAAAACTGAACACATTGTGCCTGAAATAGACCTGGGTTGGGTCGGGCGTGCTTTGTGCTCCACCGTAAACTAAATCGATCTGGCACACCAAATTTCTCATTTTTCTCGCAGCAGCAGTTTGGTTTCGGGATTTCTTCTTCTTTTTGAGTAGTGATCATTTTCAAAATGTTTTCAAAACTGTGCCTGAAATAGACCTGGGTCGGGCGTTCTTTGCGCTCCGCCGTAAACTAAATTGATCTGGCACACGGAAATCCAAATTTTTCGCGAAATCCCGAAACCAAACTACTGATGCGAGAAAAATGAGGAATTTGGTGTGCCAGATCGATTTAGTTTACGTTGAAGCGCAAAGAACGACGGAACAAACCCATCTCTGAACTTTTATCTTCTCATAACTAGTTCTGGATCACTTTTTATCACTAGACCTGGGTCGGTCGTTCTTTGCGCTCCTCCGTAAACTAAATCGAACTGGCACACCGAAATCCCAATTTTTCGCGAAATCCCGAAACCAAACTACTGATGCGAGAAAAATGAGGAATTTGGTGTGCCAGGTCGATTTAGTTTACGTTGGAGCGCAAAGTACGACCGATCGAACTCATCTCTGAACTTTTATCTTCTCATAACTAGTTCTGGATCAATTTAATTTAATCTCGAGACCTCGGTCCGGCGTTCTTTGCGCTCCGCCGTAAACTAAAACGATCTAGCACACCGAAATCCCAATTTTTCAAGAAGAAATCCCGAAACCAAACTGCTGATGCGAGAAAAATGAGGAATTTGGTGTGCCAGATCGATTTAGTTTACGGCGGAGCGCAAAGAACGACCGATCGAACCCATCTCTGAACTTTTATCTTCTCATAACTAGTTCTGGATCACTTTTAATCCTCCCCAGATTAGATCCTTTTAAGCAGATCTTTTAACTTGAACACTATAAATCTTAGTAAATGGACATTTGTTTTTGTTGCATTTGTATAAAGAATTTCTTTTAATTCTTGTAACCAATGTATCCATCCAATAGCTAAACCATTTTTTTTTTACACTTCTTGAATCTTGCTTAATGTTTTGATTGATTTTGACAGTTTCAAATCGTTTTAACATATTCTTTCCTTGCAATTATACGTGACTTTTGACTTATATGTGATCATTCTCTTTTTCAAAATAGGAAGAGCGCTTTTCTTCAACCAGCAGCAAAACCAGGAGCAGATTTTCGCCAAAAAAAAAATTAGCGAATGGTCACTGGAAAAGAGATGGATCGGGTAGTGACGTCAAATTCGATTCTTTCTTGTATCCCGTTTTTTTCTTTTCTTTTCTTTTCTTTTTCCTATTTCAGATCCATTTTCTCAATGAATCTTCTAGTGAAAAAGAAAGGAAAAGAGCACATTTAGCTTGAGCTTTTTTTTTTCTTCTCAACCCCGTTCTCCAATAGGATACGGTATGATCATTTACACATAGTTTATCTTAAAATCTTAAAATCTTAAACTCTTGAAATCTTGAAACATTTTAAAGTCATATGGCCAGATGGCCGACCGGTTAGAAGTCTTGTCTCTTAAGACTTTCTTAAGAGAGAAGGTTGAGGGTTCAATTACTCTAGCAAGATCAAAATGTTTCTTTTTCCCACCAAGTGGGTTTTTTTCTTTCACAACATTTAGGGTAATCGGGGTAATAGGGGTAACAGCCGCAGTGCTATAAAATTGTGTTTTTAGACGTTTATGTCTTATTATGTATCCTTTGTTTGTATGATATTATTGGCTTTCAATAAATGTGTTCATTAGGCCACCAGCTCGCATTTGAGGGAAAGCGTGCCAACCTTATAAACCTACCGAAATTGGGACCAAATTTTGTACGCAAAATATCTCACGTTACAGAGTCCGGTTAGGAGTCTTGCCTCTTAAGCGGAAGGTCGATAAAAATGTTTCTTTTTCCCATCAAGTGGATTTTTTTCTATCACAACATTTAGGGTAATCGGGGTAATCGGGGTAACAGCCGCAGTGCCATAAAATTGTCTGTTTAGACCATTATCTCTTATTATTTATCCTTTCTTTGTTTCACATTATTGGTTTAAAAAAAAATATGTTTTAATCCTTGAACTTTCTATTCTTTTGATAAATCTACTTCAATTACTATAAGAATTCTTCTCTAGTTTATCATCTAATTAACTCAAAAGTTGATATAACTCAAAAACAAATGATGATTTATATTCATATCTGCTCAGCATTCCCAGGGGATCTCCACTTTTCTCACTCCGAATCTATCATAACACAAATCAGGGAATTTTAAGTACTGTGATTCTGTGCGATTGATGAGAAAAGAATTACTGAATTCTAAGCTTTTAGATGTATTTTAGACCAAAAGTTTGGCATTTTGATGTCAAAATTCATATTCTCGCAAAAGTTTATTTATATAAGAATATTGACCTTGACTTTTGAGTACCTAGCCAAGGTTTGCGGTCTAGGTTGTAAGCTTTGTTTGACAAAATTGATTGGAAACATTTTAGACGCTTAAAAACTGCTAAAGTTGTTTAATTTTTCAAATTCTTATGGTAGATTTTAGTCTACTTAGCTTACTTGTACTGTTTTGAACCTCAGCTTTGGATTTGAGCTTTGGATTTCATCTTTGGATCTGAGCTTTGGATCTGAGCTTTGGATCTCGGCTTTGAACCCCAGCTTTGGATTTGAGCTTTGGTTTTGAGCATTGGATCTCAGCTTTGAACCTCAGCTTTGGATTTGAGCTTTGGTTTTGAGCTTTGGATCTGAGCTTTGGATCTGACCTTTAGATCTGAGCTTTGGATCACAGCTTTAGATCTCAGCTTTGGATCTCAGCTTTGAACCTGAGCTTTGAGCCTCAGCTTTGGATCTCAGCTTTAAATCTCAGCTTTAAATCTCAGCTTTGAATGCTTCAATGCTGTTTAAAGTCTGAAAATCTATACATTTCTGCTTTTCAAATTGTTTCAATTTCCATTTCTACAAACAAATTCCAGTTAATGTTACCGTCTCCTCTCCTCATCTCTTCACCAACCGTAATCCATGATGAAAGAATGATGTTTGGTGAGATGAGTGGCTTATCCAATCTCCACAATCTCCACAATCATCATCATCATTCATCATTTTCCTCATCTTCATCCAGTCCAATTCAATCTATGCCTTACATTCAAGAAATGGAGAAATTTGGGTAGGAGAATGGAGATTACTTCTGTTGAGTTGTCTTGTCGCAAATCCTTGCTTAAACATAGTGAACATTTGAATTCGTTGTGCTTTATTGCATGCTTGTTTTTGTTTTTATGATTGTTTCTTTCATTAGAAATAGTATCTTTTTCAAATTCAGATTAGAAACGAGTCCACGAATCGATCCATCACACAGTGCGTTTCCAATGACGATGTATTCAACAGTTGATCTGACTCCTGTCATTCAACGACTTCTGCTTGAAATGAACAGTGAGTTTGAGCTTTTTCAAATCTTATTTATCAAGAATTATTTCTAAAAGTTGAATTTCTAAGGTTAATCCATCAAAATCAAAACAGACAGGCATCAAAATTTTAACGAAACAGTTTCAAGCAAAGACTTTTGCTTCAGTAAAGCCATAAGCTTTAGCTTTAATGCTTACTTCTTCAGCTCCTTCTTCAGCTCCTTCATCAGCTCCTTCATCAGCTCCTTCATCAGCAACTTCTTCAGCTCCTTCATCAGCTCCTCCTTCAGCACCTTCTTCAGCTCCTTCTTCAGCTCCTTCTTCAGCCCTTCACACCCATCAGCCCCATGAGCCCTTCACCCTCATCAGCTCCTTCCCCTTCATCAGCTCCTCCTTCAGCACCTTCTTCAGCTCCTTCTTCAGCTCCTTCTTCAGCTATAGTAAAAGTTCCAATGCAAGCTACAATCAGCCAATCGGAGATCATTTTGAATTCAGCTTTGAAGCAAATCTTCTTCACAAAACACCAAAGAGCTTTAAAAACCGAATTCTAAAATAATCTCTACTTTTTGAAATATTTTCATTGATGAAAATTCATATCTAAATTGACCTATAAAAAAGATAAAAAGTTAAAAAAATAATTTCAATCCCAAGTTAAGGCTTTATCCACATCCACAAAGTACAAAAAAATCGTGAAATCCTCGTACTTCAAAGCTGAACTTTACATTCTCATCCAGATTAACCACTTAAAGAAATTAGAATCACCGATGCTTTTATCTAAGCTTTTATATCTTTAGAAATAAAAATTCTTCCATATGAATCGGTTGCAAATTTTCAATTATAGTTTTTGTATTTTGAACGAATTGATTGCAACTAATTGCAACTAATCCAGCCCGTAGCTCTTTCAGACAATTCTCTTTGTGGAAAAAACGCTCGATAAACTTTCCCCCAACAATATCATTTTTTAATTAGTTTGTGGAAAAGCAAAAGCGACTTTTTTTAGAAGAGATTTTTGCAAAATATAGAAAAGAGGGATGTTGAAAAGGTTCATTGAAATTATTATATTTTATTTGTTGTAATAGTTAATCCTACTTTATCAAAGACTTCTGTACTTTGTGGATGCTAAAGCCCTAACTTGGGATTGAAATTATTTTTTTAACTTTTTATCTTTTTTATAGGTCAATTTAGATATGAATTTTCATCAATGAAAATATTTCAAAAAGTAGAGATTTTTTTAGAATTCGGTTTTTGAGGCTCTTTGTTGTTTTGTGAAGAAGATTTGCTTCAAAACTGAATTCAAAATGATCTCTGATTGGCTGATTGTAGCTTGCATTGGAACTTTTACTATAGCTGAAGAAGGAGCTGAAGAAGGAGCTGAAGAAGGAGCTGAAGAAGGAGCTGAAGAAGGAGCTGATGAAGGAGCTGATGAAGGAGCTGATGAAGGAGCTGATGAAGGAGCTGATGAAGGAGCTGAAGAAGGAGCTGAAGAAGGAGCTGAAGAAGGAGCTGAAGAAGGAGCTGATGAAGGAGCTGAAGAAGGTGCTGATGAAGGAGCTGAAGAAGGAGCTGAAGAAGGAGCTGAAGAAGGAGCTGAAGAAGCAAGCATTAGAGCTAAAGCTTATGGCTTTGCTGAAGCAAAAGTCTTTTCCACAAAGCACAAAAAAATCCTGAAATTCTTGTACTTCAAAGCCGAACTTTGCATTCTCATCCAGATTAACCACTTAAAGAAATGAGAATCACCGATGCGGATCTAAGCTTTTATATCTTTAGAAATAAAAATTCTTCCATATGAATCGGTTGCAAATTTTCAATTACAGTTTTTGTATTTTGAACGAATTGATTGCAACTAATTGCAACTAATCCAGCCCGTAGCTCTTTCAGACAATTCTCTTTGTGGAAAAAACGCTCGATAAACTTTCCCCCAACAATATCAATTTTTAATTAGTTTGTGGAAAAGCAAAAGCGACTTTTTTTAGAAGAGATTTTTGCAAAGTATAGAAAAGAGGGATGTTGAAAAGGTTCATTGAAATTATTATATTTTATTTGTTGTAATAGTTAATCCTATTTTATCAAAGACTTCTATAACTTTAATTAATGTTTTTATTTACTCAAAGCTTAAAGATATTCTTCCTCAAATTTGAAACTATTCAATTAAGAAGTATTATTGTTTACAAAAGGGTTTATTTCCGAATTGGTCACGTATATCTAATATCTATCAGTGTCTGTCTGTACGAGCATTTTCTCGAACCTGTTTTGACCAATAAAGCTAAAACTTCTTTAGAAAAGCTTAGAATATGTTGTAGTTGTGCGATTTAAATTTTAAAAAATCAAAAAATCAAGAAAGAATGGCACTAGGGGAGTCGAACCCGGCTCGTGTGGGCGGCAGAAATCTGCGCTCTCGACTGAGCCACGGCGACCATCAGTTGCTCGAAAACATTTAGCGACAAAAGCCTAGAGGCGGGTTTTTCAGCTGTTTAGGTGTATAAACCTGTATTCAACTGATATACTACTAGTATTTGGTTGAAAACAACTCCTTTGAGTAAAACAGCTAGTACAGCTAGTTCTAGTAAAACAGCTCCTTTGAGTTCACTCTTCCCCCCGTTCTCTAAAAATTTGATGTCCCAACCCAGCTCAACCTCTTCAAAGTAAACATTTCGTAAAATAAAGAGCCTTTCTCTGAGAGAAATTCGTAAAAAGATGAGAAAAAGGGGACACCTTGCACCTAAGACAAGAAAAGTCTGACTGTTTGCCCAAAAACGGTAGCTTTTCCAAAAGAAAAGAAAAGACAGACCATCGTCGATTTCTCCAAAAGTCTCGAGGAAGCTTTCAATCTCTTTCAATCCAAGCAATCATCTTTCTTTAAGAAGAATTTTCTCGTTTCGTTCCTGATCATCCACTTTTCTTGTTCTTTCGACGTTTTGCAAAAGACTTGCAGAAATCTATTGAAACATACCTTCTTTGGAATGCTCAGAAACTTGACTAGACTATTTTTCTGTTTCAATCTTTTTCTCATATCAATTCATTCATCTTTTCAATCAATTACGGTGACTCATCCTAAAAATATCGTTTCAATCACTTTTTAATTGAAACGATAATCCATTCTTGAGTAGTTTCTTTGTTTCCTGTCTAAAATATTACCCCACTTTCCAGCTAATGGATTCTTTAGTACTTTCAAAGACTCTAGAAGCGTTTAAACGCGTTTCTTTTACAATATCTTACTTACTGTATCAATTCGTGAAATTCCTTTAATGTTTTCAATCAATAATAATTAGAAAACTGTTCAATTATCAGAAAAACTTTGCTTTTCAGAGCTAGGCACAACTCCAATGCTTGATGTGGTTGCGCTTTCGGAGTGCGGAGAACTGATCGCTGGGACGGCGACTCAAGAAGTGAAATTAGAAGAAGGACTGACGATTTTCAATCCATTACCCAATGAACCATCTTGCTCAAGGCCTCATTCTGAATCGGTAAGTGATTCAAAAGTTTTCTAACTACTTATGATTTCTTACTTATGACTTATGTGTGTTAAAAGCGTCTAATTTTGATAATAAAATTCATTTGTTTCAGGATCATTCCAATCGCAAACGTATCTTTGATAAACCCTGTGCAATTTGTCATGGACTAGCATCTGGCTATCATTATGAGGTAAAGCAAATGAATGAAATGATTATCGGACATTTGATACGCGTCCGCCCCTTTTCCATTGAAAAACTTTGAGACCAAATATCTTGGTGTTGAGTTATCGAATTTAAATATTCTTGGTATCATTTGATGCGCCAAGTCTTTCTCTGTCGATTGGTACAAATAGAATTTCAATTGAACAGCCTAACACAAAGAAATTTGAGCTCAAAGTTTGCCGATGGCAAAAGCGGCCGCGCAAATGTCCCACAATCAATTAAACAGACTGTTTTTTCAGACTCCATCTTGCAACTCATGTAAAACTTTCTTCCGACGAACAGTCATCTCAGCGAAGAATTACAAATGTATTAAAGGAGATGGACGATGTCTATCGAGTGGAAAAATACGTGAGTATTTAAGAAAATGAAAAAACAACAACTTTCTATCACTTCCTCTTTTTGGATCATTGAATAGAAAAGACAAAGATGAAACTTGTTTCTTTCAAATCACATGATCATCTTTCGAAAATAAGAACTTTGATCCTCTGTTCCACCTAGATTGCCTAAATTTTATCAAAAAAAAACATTTCAGCAGCGAAAATCAAATGTCGACAATGTCGTTTTCTTAAATGTATCCAACAAGGAATGAGACCGGAAAGTGGGCATTACAGCTAATTTTTTAAAAACAAATCAATCAACAGTACATTTTAAATAAAAGATTTAGCTGTTTCTACATCAAAAGACGGTATCTCTACACCGATCAAGAATGAACTTCAACAATACTCTCCAGCTGAAAGTAAGGCATTTTTTTTGATTGTTAAATGAATATTATTATATAGATATTCAATGAGAGGTTAAAAATAGGAAAATAGAATATAGGAAATGATAGAAAAACTGTTTCAAAGACAGGAAATGAGAAAAACTGTTTCTAAGCCAGAAAATTATAGAAAAACTATTAGAAAGACGATTTAGAAAACTCTTTCATAGAAAATGGTAGAAACTATTTCAAAGACAGAAAATGATAGAAAAGCTATTTCCTAGACAGAAAATGGTAGACAAACTCTTTTATAGACAAAAAAAATGGTAGAAAAGCTATTTCAAAGACAGAAAATTATAGAAAAACTGTTTCAAAGCCAGAAAATTATAGAAAAACTATTAGAAAGACAGAAAATTATACAAAAAACTCTTTCATAGACAGATATATGGTAGAAACTACTTCAAATACAGTTGAACAACTCAGGTCCAAGCTCTTCATACATCACCGAACCAAGCACAAGTCCTCAAATCGACATCATCGTCTATACTCATTGCATTTCAGCGCTTGGAGATGTGCGTTCATTCTAGATTTTAATTTTTAATCTTTACATCTGACATCAAGATTCTAGATTGATGACAGAATTCGGTTACTTCGTCACAGTGATTTTGACCCATTCAAATCAGAGACTGGATTGGTGACTTTATTGAATCAACCATCTCTTCTCGATCAAGTCAACAAGTTCAAAGTTTGTTATGAAAATTTTCAAATGACAAAGCCAAATTTAGCAAGTGAGCAACTGGTTGACGCATCCACGAATCTCTCCATCAAGGGGGCCATGTCTTGAATCTCCATCTTGTCGAGATCTCTCCGAATGGCTTTGTCTAGATTTAATCTGTGCTGTAGAGTATATGAAACGATTTGCTCTCTTCAATGGGATGTCTTTTCAGAAACAGGTAGACAGATCATAGATGATTTTAAATTTTACAAAACAATCCTGAACTTGTGAAGTCAATTCATTGATTTCAGTGTGAAGTGATTCATCGATGTGCCCTTCCTTTATCGATGGCCGTTCTCTGCTTTGAATCAGTCTTGAATGGGCATTCTGCTCTAATGTTACCCGATGGAATCTCTCCTGTTTCTATCTTGCCAACTGTGTTTTTCAAGTGAATAGCTTTATTTTTGAAATCAAAATTCAAAACTACCGTGTTCTCCTCTAATAATAGTGCACTGAAAGCTTTGCCTAAATTCCTAGAAATCTCGAGAACCGCTTATCAGAACCTATCGATGTGGGGTCGGAAAATGTAGCTGACGATGAGATCTAGTGGGGGATTAAAGTGTTGAGCTTCTGGGATCACTTCGAAACCGTAAAATAGGTATCAACTCGGCACTACTATTAGGGACAATATGGTAACCATTCCATTCCCGGTTTGGGTATCTTCGAATTATCGGTGAACATTATGCCAAAGACTATTTCAAAAGTACATTCTACCTCACAATTTCAATTTAATACTTCTTACTTAACCTTTAATAACTTCTTACTTTTAATACTTCTTACAGCTATCGTTTCTGACTTTGTTTTTAATCTAATATACCGTATTTTCTCTAATAGTAGTGCACCCTGAGCGTTGCCTAAATTCCTCGAAATCTCGATAACAGCTGATCAGCCCGATTGATGTGGGCTCGGAAAATGTAGCTGACGATGAGATCTAGTGGGGGATTTGAGTGTTGAGCTTCTGCAAAAGCTTGGAAACCGTAAAATAGTCATCAACTCGGCTCGGCGGGGTGCACTACTATTAGAGAGAATACGGTAATTAAAGCTTTTACTCTCTTCCTATCAAAAAAACCAAAAACCTTTGATTTTCAGTGTCTGTGATCCTTGGAGACGTGAACAAGTCGATCAAACTGAATATCTTTTGTTGAAAGCTTTACTATTCCATGAAATGAGTAAGTTCTTTGCTTTTTATTTCATTTTATTCGTTTTATTCTCTTATTATGAAATTTAGTGCTGCAAACTGAAACCACTACAGAAATCATCGAGGATCGCGGGAAATACGTCAAATTTCTCTTCGAGTACCTCAAGAAAAAGGTTTGTTTGAAAGAAAAATGGTCAACCGTCAATACTAAGTCGATTCAAAAAGCTTATCAGCTTACTGCTACACAACAAATCTTGAAATCATTAATTGAATATATTCACTTTTCCTGAAAGTGTACCTGAATATAATGAATATATATGTTACGTCCAATCTAGAAATCTGTCCAATCTAGAAATCCGTCCAATATAGAAATCTGTCCGATATAGAGATTCGTTCAATCTAGAAATCCGTCCAATCTAGAAATTCGTCCGATCTGGAAATCCGTCCAATCTAGAAATCCATCCAATCTAGAAATTCGTTCAATCTAGAAATTCGTCCAATCTAGAAATCTGTCCAATTCATACCTATATCTATATCTAGATTGATTCTAGATCGGACGTTCGATCGAGAGTGAAGTGAGGTCAAACATCCAAGCTAGAATCAAACCTATCCTCTAAATCAACACCCGATCCAGACTTAGATTTAGAGTAATTTCTTGATTCTAGATCAAAAGTTTGACCTCACTTGACTCTAGATCCGATCCAAAATCAATCTAGATCGGACGTAACATATATACAAAGTTGAACTGAAGATAAACGAGAATTTCAGGTTGGTCAAGCAGCCCCATCTCGAATGGCTTCACTAATAGCAATTTCTCAACAATTAATTACAATCGCTAACAAACATCGAGCTCATGTTTTGGCCTCGGATTCAATAAGAGCTCGAATCCATGAGAGACTTGTCAGAGAGATCATTCTAAGGGAACCAATTCTTGTTCCCAGACCTTACTAGTTATCTAATTTATCTAATTTATTTGAACCATTTATAGATTTCGTTGAATATGCCATTTCCGAAATTTCTTTGCATATCTGCTGCTACGAGTTTCTTCATTCTTTTCCCATTCTTTTCCCATCATCATTTTGGGTCTCATTGCCAATGGATTTCTTTATTTTTTTGTAATTTTATTGTGACATTCAAATGCAAAAGTTTGTCTACTTGCGGTAAATTTATTTACAAACGTTTACAAAAAAAGATTTCTCGACACAAAGCTAATCAAATTGATACAGGATTTGAGAAAAGAGTAATCAAGAATTGAAGACTTTAAGAGAAAACTGTAAAACAGAAATCAAAGACAAAGAAAAGATCATTTAATAAGATTTTCTTTTCATCTTTCACTTTAAATCATTCAATTTCTTTTTTTCATTTAACTTGAATGATTAGAAGATGGAAAATATCAAAGTACATTATAAATGTAGAAAAATATCAACAAAATACATTTAAAAACATTCATCACATTCATTTATCTTCATTTTTTTCTTAAATCAAATCCATTACAGATAAAAAAACTTTGCGTTTTCTTTCTTTTCGTTTACAATCAATTCAATTGAGCTTTAAGGCTATGAATTGAAAAAAAAAACTAAACAAGAATTGTTACATTAGTGAAGATCAGAAATCAGAAACGAATTGTTGTGCAAATATAAGATTTAAACTAAATTTAAAGGCTGTAGTTCAAGACAAATTGATCTTTTGCATTGCCTCGGTGATCGCTTCTTTTTGTGACTGTAGCTTTTCGTGCAGTTTTGGAACTATTATATTTAAACCAAATAGTTCTTTGTTGGATAAAATCTACCAAAAAGAAAGCATTAAATTGGCTGCTTAACAAAATGGACCCAGAAATTCGTGACTATTATCATTATGACAAAGAAGTTGAGGTGATGCTTTTGGATAAACTTTTCAGGAAAGAAAACTTTCCATAAAGCGAAAGCAATCATGCGTTTTTTGTTGGTTTTAATAGAAATTGTATTGTACTTGTACTTGTATTGTACTTGTACTTTCTTCAAAAGAAACCCATTTTGGTGTCAATGGAAAAGTTGTAGAGAATCAAAAATCAAGCTTGTATCCAAATTTTCAGAACGATTCAAAAACTGGTTTTCAAGAAATGCGAAATTTACGAAACTTTCACAAAACTTGCATTTTAAGCGAAACTACTAAGTGTATCTTTTTGGAAATTTGGCTATAAGCCTAATTTTTGATTTTCTACAACTTTTCTATTGACACCAAAATGGGTTTCTTTTGAAGAAAGTGCTCAAACTGGGACATCTCCAGTCCTCGATTTTTGAGTCTCACACTTGTCTCACACACAAACCAAAATCCTACTACGAAAGAGGAATCCGCAAATTGCCTGTAAAATGGGCAGAAGTCGTCAATAATAATGGAAATGATTTGGAATGAATTCATGATTTTATGTTCAATAAATTTTAGTTCAAAGTCCTCGCAGTTTTCAATTCACCAACCCAATATTTGTTGGTTAACAAAGAAAATGAGATCCCACTGGTCAGTCGATTTATCAGAATCTTCAAACAAATCTTTACCAAAAAAATAGTAAAAAAAATAAGGATGATTGAGGCATTTAAATATTAGATAACTTTCCCAAATTTACAGGAAGCCGTTGTTGGCAATAAATCGAGCATGAATAATCTTTTGCACCGTTTCGACGATTGTTTCTTTTTGAGTACCGTTTGATGCAATAAAGGCATTACTTTATCGAAATTCGGATGCGTTTGTCTATTGGATATCTCTACAAGGAAAAATCTTAAATTAAATGAATATTTATACAAGATAAGCACTGAAATTCGTCACGATTATCACCTTGAATACCTGATTGTCGCAACTTTTGGAGAGTTAGCAACTCAAATTTTTTAGACAAAAACTTTCAGAACAAAACCAATAATAGATCTTATATGTGCCTTTAAAGTATTTTTTAATTGGTTCATCAATTGTTAAGAAGACTGTTGAATTCTTTGTCAAAGCTTAATGTTAGTTATTCAATTGGCTCACTGGTCAATCGACTTCTCGAAATCTTCAATCAAATGTGATTTTTATAAAAAGTAAGAAGAAAATAATGATGATTGAAAGAGCAGAAAAGACTCTTAAACAAAATGATTACAGTACAAAGAAGTTTAGCCTTAAATCGGTCTTATATTCATAAACACTTTAAGTGTAGGTTTACCCTTTTCTGCTTTATACTAAGCTTGTGTCATTTAAATTGTACAGAAAACTGTTTGCCTACTCGTGATAAATTTGATTTATTTACAGACATTGCGAAACTACAGGAAATACATTCACTGGACACAAAACGATAATCGAATCGCACAAATACATTTTCCAAAAACAATGAGATCAAGAATACACGTCTTTTGAAACAAATCAGAAAATTTGGAAAGATTTTTTAGATATGGAATGATGAGGAAAAAGATATCAATAAAAATGATATGATAAAACTTTTTGAAGCATGTGAAGCAGAAAAAAAGTCTTTAATTTATACAGGTGCGATTGCACTTTCCGGAAGAGCATCGGGGAGTTGGCTGAGTGGGAGTGAGCGAGTACGGGGGACTCCAGCTGAGCTCTCCTGAAATTATTGAGTAAAATTCATTAGTAAAATGACTTCAAATGAAGAGAATTTGTTTTAAATCTACAGCTAAATGTTTATAGACTTTTTGAGTACTCAGCTTCTTATAGGTACTCTTTGTGAATGATCTGATCTGATTTGTGAATCTAATCTAATGTGAATCTACTTAATTGTTTATTTGTTTTGTGATTTGATGGACTCATATAAATTCTATCAAGTCAGAAGTCTTTTATAAACTTATTTAAGCGCACAATATCATTCTACTTACAGATATCTCAACAGCACTCGCCACAGTTGAGGGTGTGGGCGCTACGAGTCTCAATCCAACTGATGAGTATGGCCCATTGTCCGTGTTTGAGACGCAAGCTGAGTGCAATTCTATTCGTGGGCGCGAGTGCTGAACGAGAGATCTTTAGATTATGTCTTTAGATTATGTTGAGCTGTTGTGCGTTCAGTGCTATCTTTCAAGACTCACCTTCTTGCTGCTCCAACTTCTCCGACCCCAAAAGAGTTGCTTGAGATGGAAACGGAAATGTTTACTGAAATAGTTTAGATATTTTGATCTAATATGGTTCCACTACGGTTCCTATTTTCATCTAATACGGTTCCAATACGGTTCCAGTACGGTTCCTTTTAAGGTTCCAATACGGTTCCAATACGGTTCCTATTTTCATCTAATATTTGATTAGATGTTTACGAAAACATTAAACAAATAGAATTTATATTTAAAGATTAATATTTACCTGCTAAGACAGAACAGGAAGAAGTTAGTGACTTTTCCAGTAATCACAAAGAAATTCGAAACAGCAGCCCAAGTGTAAGAAGATTTTTGAGCGTACATTGTTTTTCCCTCAGATACCATGAGATACCTGAAGCAATTTTAGACTTGAACTAAGCAATTAAACAAACATTTTCCCAAAAATGATAGCTGATGGGATGTGGGTGATGATATAGCAAGAGACAATAGCCACAACGGTGATCGTCACATGTCTTTCAGCTTTTGAAAGTTGACGATTCCAGAGTGAGCTGCTGAAAATTCGGATTCAATATTGATAATGAAAAGATTTGTGATTTATAAAACTCCAATTCAAACCTATTGACACGCAGCTGAGCAACAACATTTTGAAAAGTGTTATTCGTTGCTTGATGACTTGGAGATTGGTATGAACCTCCTTGACTCATTGTTGGGATCACAAGTTGATGTCCAGTTGTTGGTTCAGGTTCGATGAGTGGCGGGGATCCATCTTGAAGCTAAAAAAACTCTTTCTTTTGTTTATTTTGTTGCTAATCTATGCTCACATCAGAATCAGATCTGGTCGTCCTTCTAGAGCTATCTCGATTGATCGAAATTGTCTCAAAGTACTAAAAATTTTTCTATAATTAAAATCGATAATGAAACTAATTTACCTGTCTTCTATTTCTTAGATAGTAGAGTAAGAACATATTCAAAATCAATAACGTTAAAATTGGAAGAAAAGTAGCATGAAGAATATGAACGAATACCAAAAGTTTTTGAAGTTCTTCCGTCAAAAACATTTCCTGTACGAAGCGGTTCTAAAATTCTTGATTCTAGATGTGTACAGAAGAACTTTAAGATGTTAATCTTTATTTTCTTTATTTACTTTATTGAGGGTGAGACAAATGCGACTTTTTTTTGCGCACCTGGACATTTGCGCACCTTTTTTTGCTGGAAAAGGCCTTAGGCAAGGCCGCAGGTCGTAGAGCTTCGAAAATATTTCCATATAAGGGAATCGTATGCGTAGATTCCGAATTTCGACAAATCACACCTCGCTGACACGTCAAATTTGGGCTAAAAGGCAAAAACTGCGGAAAAGCGTTAAGTTGCGTAGTTTTTGCCTTTTAGCTCAAATTTAACGTGTCAGCGAGGTCTGATTTGCTTTGATTTGTCGAAATTCGGAATCTACGCATACGATTCCCCAGTATGGAAACATTTTCGAAGCTCTACGACCTTTCCTAAGGCCTTTTCCAGCAAAAAAAAGGTGCGCAAATGTCCAGGTGCGCCAAAAAAAAAGGTCGCATTTGTTCCACCCCCCACTTTATTCATTTTCTTTACTAACATTCTCGATCCTTGTCTTGTTTAATGCATACTGAATCGTTGTCAGAAAAGAGATCATAAAGAGAGCTGGGATTACAAGAATTTCGCGGAAAGAGCATCTAAAACTTTAAAATATGATTTCATTTTTATATCGAATTCATTAGTTTTTCCGAAAATTTCTAATCACCTGTGCTTTCTTGCAGAAAATGGCGATTTAATAGCCCATAAACGGTCGAACGTGACCACCACTATCAACCTAAAAATTTTTTTGAGTTTACTGATTGACACTTTGAAAAGATAAACATGGCTAGACAAATGAAAATACAATAAAATTCTAGTCCTTCTGCGAAAAGACAGAACTAGAACTACTTCTTCTTACTATTCGTTCAGTTTAGTGATTAGGTTTTAGATTAGATTAGGGATAGGCTAATTTTCGCAATTTTTTTTTTGCGCAACAGGATCATTTCCGCAACTTGCCATAACTTTCTTCTGAGTCAGACAATCCTTATGATGTTGGTGTCATTTTGTAGATCTCAATAAGTGCAACAAAATGACACCAAGATCATAAAGATTGTCTGCTTAGAAGAAAGTTATGACGAGTTGTGCAAAAGACCTAGTTGCGCAAATGACCCAATTGCGCAAAAAATTTGGCGCAAGCAAAGGCGCACCCCTTTCCCCTCCAAGTAAACCAAAAACTGTGATAAGATTGAATTTGACTTTGTGCATGATCAAGCTCTTGATAGATATTAAGGGGGTGGTTACCCCCTTAATATCTATAAGGGGGTGATTACCCCCTTATTTGGTGCTTTTCACTAATATCCTCAAATTCCATGTATTTAAGTTGAAATGAAATGAGATCTCAATCAGATTTTGGTGTCATTTTGTTGCCCTTGTTGAGATCTACAAAATGACACAAAAATCATAAAGATTGGCTCACTTAGAAAAAAGTTATGACGAGTTGCGCAAACGATTCAGTTGCTCAAAAAAAATTGCGGTTAGATTAGTTTAGATTCAAATGATTTTGTTGTAAAGTTTATTGATTGAAGTCAGTGTTTAAGTGCTTTTAAAATCCATGTATTTAAGTTGAAATGAAATGAGATCTCAATCAGATTTCCTCACAATCACTCACCAACTGCTGAATGATGAAAAACAATTTGCCGCCGAAGTGAAACGAGATTTATTGGCAAAATAGAAAAGAGCGAAATCAGTGTAACATTTGATTGAAGTTTGATTGAAATGATTCGTTTCTAAAATCTTTCGTTTATAAAAAAGTTAATAGATATTAGAAAAAAAATCCTTGAAACTGACCATTAGGCATACAATCTCTGAACATCCATCCTGTTCTTCTTGCCATATTGTGTGGAATCATGGCAGCCAAGAAAATCATGTCAGAGATCGCAGCGAAAGCCAGAAGGGTGTTCACTCTGAAAATTGTTTTAAACTTTTCTTTTGATTGTTTAATGTTTGATAACCAGCTGTTTGATAACCAGCTTAATAGTGATTTTATAAAGTTCATTTCAGAGAAACACTCAAGTAACAGTTGTTTAGAGGTTTTTGTTAGTCTTATCTTGTTTTCAAGTCTGTTTTCCAGTCTGTTTTCCAGTCTGTTTTCCATTCGAACCTGCTTCTCATATGTGTTGAGAATAAAACGAGAAGATTGATGAAATTCCCAACAATTCCTAACGTTGCTTGAATCGGGAACATCGTCTCGCACATCTGTACAATCCATTTCTCCATCTAAATCGTGTTCTTTGTTTCGAATTCTTAATCAATTTTCAATTCAATACACTTGAACACTTTTCCCTATTTTTCATGTTTCTGAAACAGAATCGAGAAACATCAAGCGCATTGTTTTCTTAATGACTTCAATTCGCGTCATTTGTAAGCCAATTGAAAAAAAGAATCAAGTGGCACCCACCTCCACCCAGGAAATATAAAGAAAAGAGAAAAAATGGAGGGCACCGATGGATTGAATTTCGAACCAATTTTTGCTCGAAGCAAGAGAAAAGAGAGTATCCAAGATCATTCTGAAGGCATACGTGGGTTCATTTTTGATTCACTAATAAGCTTATAATGAGAATTTGATTAGTTTGAGACACGAAAGATTCTTGGCATAGTAAAGCAAGTCACGAAACTGAATCAGAAGTGAAACAAGTCCAGTCAACTCATTTTGTTTGAGTAACTTGGTCAAGAGTTACTCTCACTATAAGGCTTTGAATCATAGCTTACAAGTTTAGCTAAAGTTTAAAGCTCTCAAGGCTAGAATAACATCGATAGAGACAGAGTTAGATGCAGAGACTGATGCAGAGGCTGATGCAGAGGTTGATGCAGAGGTTGATGCAGAGGCTGATGTCAAGTGAGATCATCAAGATATTGCACTCAACAAGTACTATCAGTCAAGCTCATGACTAAGTAGCTTATCATGCATTCAACTAATGCATTTACCTCTTCCCAGGTGACATCTGTTGTGTTAATATTAGCCAGATTTGTATGTAACGGAGTAGTCATGAGTTCGAAGACTGGGAATCACTGAGAACCTCGATCTGAAGGAAAATGACTGAGCTCTAGGGGTTGGGTTCTCAATTCTTTGAAAAGGCGGAGAAAAGAGAAGAAGACCACTCGGATGGGAGTGGTTCGAGAAATTTCAATTGAATCCTCTCAATTTTTCTTCTTTTCAAACCCAGGACAGATTACCCCGATGCAATGCCCCGAGGCGACATTGAATCGCTCAAATATCGCAATATAGGATCTCTTCTATTGGCACGTGGCAGAAATAAAGCAAAGAATTGCTTTATTTCTTACGATATCATCTTAAACTTATCTTCTTTCTTGAGTCGATTGGTTTCCAAGAAAATATTGAGTCCTAGGGGTTTAAAAAAATGAGATTAGAGGCTTTAGTGGCTCATGAATCATGAATATGTGGGGGTGGTTGTTGTTTACTCGAAGCTCAGGCTTTAATCTTTAATTTGTTTTGGTTTTTGAATTGAAACAAAGTTATATATTGGATTTATTTCTAGATAATAAACAAATGAAAGATTTTAGTGAAGAAATGGGGGCGTAATTGGGATGAAATATGCGATTATGCTCTTCTATTAGACTTAAAATCTTTTACTTAATGCAATTATGTGATTTATAGTAATCTTTAATAGTAATCGAATAGTAATCTCATAGTAATCTAATAGTAATCATCATTGTTAAACAAAAACTTGACAAGGTAGATAGCTCAAAAGTTAGCATAGATTCTACAATGCTGAATGACTCAACTCAATGAATTTTCCTCTTCTAAAAGCACTAGAAGCACTAGAAGCACTTTCTATAAGTACCAGAAGGACAAGTAAGTATATAGTAATCTTTAATAGTAATTTAATAGTAATCTAATAGTAATCATCATTGTTAAACAAAAACTTTACAAGGTAGATAGCTCAAAAGTTAGCCTTCTACAATACTGAATGATTCAACTCAATGAATTTTCCTCTTCTAAAAGCACTAGAAGCACTAGAAACACTTTGTATAAGGACTAGAAGCATAAGTAAGCATTATTAATTGATTATTCCTCAACATAGCTAGCCTTAATCTTGTTTCAAGCTCAAGTTGTTCAATTGTTGTTCAAGAATCTTGCTTCTAATCATCGACTGAGTCATTCTTTTATAACCAACTCGAAAATATTTCATGATTCACTAAATGAGTACGAATTTTAATCAAATGATTTCCCATTTTTTTCATTAAACATCTAAATCCACTAGTTGCACGAAAGAAACTAATGAAATTTCGCATTTTTCTTGCAGATTTTCCGGCAGGTGAACCCAAGGGAGAGATTTTTTTTTTTTAAAAGTACCCATCACAAAACTTTTCACTAATTGGACTTATGATTTGGACTTATAACAAAAAAAAATGAAAGGAGTTCATTAGAAATTCTAGAATCAATTAAAAGTTCAAGAAAAGTGAAAGAAAAATGTAAAAAGTTGAAGATGATTGAGATAAAAACCGGATGGAAAACCAGAAACACACAAAAAGATCCAATTTTCGATGTAAGATGAAGTTGTAGTTCGGAAATTTGAAAATTCAAGATTCTGAAGTGTTTAGCTCCTTGCTCCTTAATCCAATAACCTCTAGAAATTGGATTTTTCTTTGATTTTTGAAAAATCCTCTATCTAAGCAACAATCTTCTCAGAATTTCTTTGTCCATTCTCATTCTCTGCGAGATTTTTTGAGGAGGTTTTCTTCTTGAAAAATATTTTGTACATTGCAAAGCTTTGGTTCATCAAATCAACCATCAAGTTCTTGACTTTGATCTTTTCGATGACAATTCTCTGACTATTCAAATTCAATTCACAATTACAAACTTTGTGGTTACAAAAAAAACCATGGAGACAAATGAAATTATGACTTGTGAAAGAAGTAAAAATGTTAAGATTTGAGGAAAAGATTGGTCAAGTCTTCCCTCAACAAGTCATCCACAATCCTCACCTCTTTCTCTCTCAAACTTCTATAGAAATTTATCAGACCATGACTTGTATCTTGTCAACATGTTGCAAATTCTTTTATCGGAAAGAGAAATGAGTTTGGTAAACAAAAATTGGAGACGAAATGATAGACGTGAACGGAAACTACTAGAAAACTAACAAAATATTGGGTTGGTGAATTGAAAACTTACTCATTTAGTGAATCATGAAATATTTGCGAGTTGGTTATAAAAGAGTGACTCAGTCGATGAGTAGAAACAAGATTCTTGAACAATTTGAACTTGAAACAAGATTAAGGCTAGCTATGTTGGGGAATAATGAATCAATAATGCTTACTTGTCCTTCTGGTACTTATAGAAAGTGCTTCTAGTGCTTTTATTGTGTTGGCGAATTGAAAACTGCCGGCTATTGTCATATGTGACAGTTTGAGCACTTTCTTCAAAAGAAACCCATTTTGGTGTGAATGGAGAAGTTGTAGAGAATTAAAAATGGAGCTTATATCCAAATTTTCAGAACGATTCAAAAACTGGTTTTCAAGAAATGCGAAATTTACGAATCTTCACAAAACTTGCATTTTAAGCGAAACTACCAAGTGTATCTTTTTGGAAATTTGGCTATAAGCCTAATTTTTGATTCTCTACAACTTTTCTATTGACATCAAAATGGGTTTCTTTTGAAGAAAGTGCTCAAACTGGGACATCTCCAGTCCTCCATTTTTGAGTCTCACACTTGTCTCACACACAAACCAAAATCCTACTACGAAAGAGGAATGCGCAAATTGCCTGTAAAATGGGCAGAAGTCGTCAATAATAATGGAAATTATTTGGAATGAATTGATCGTTTTATGTTGAATAAATTTTAGTTCAAAGTCCCGCAGTTTTCACTTCACCAACCCAATAGTTAGCAGAAGTTTTAACATTTTCTTATTATGAAATCCGTTGACCTTAAATAAGTAAAAGGAAAACTAAAGGAGTTTTTCTTTAAATCTTTACTTCATAACTTTGATGAATGAAGTAAAAGATTTTCAATTGACCAACCCAATAATAACTCTGAGATCTAAGCCAGTTGAAAAATCTTTAAAAATTTGAAAGCAAAACAAAACTTTGATCGTTCTTTAGCTATTCTTTTTGAAAGAATACCTAAACAGTTTCTGAAAAACAGTAAGAAAAGCCTATCACTACGTTATCAATTTTTAAAGAATAGACAGACAAATTTCTGGAAAGTAATGGGGTCTGCTAAATAAAGAAAAAAGAAAGTGAAAGAGAGTGAAAAGGAAAAGGAAAAGAAAAATGAAGCGATAACCCCATCACATGTGATTTCTGTGCCCTGCATCAAGCTATTTTAAAGGAGATAACTCGGGAAGTGTCAATTTTTGTTAAAATCAAGAGGAAAGGTTTGTAAGGAAAACAAAAATTCGATATGAAATGATGGACGTAAAAATAAATTACAATAAAATTTTTAAAAATGAGCAAAGTTGTAGAATAGGTGCGAGTTTCAACTTGAATCTAACATTCAAGTTTTTCAAGAGAAAGTTGAACCACAAAAGTTGACAATTAAAGCTCTTTAAAGTCATTTTAAGACTGATTCAAGATTAGAACTTGTAAAAAGTCTAACTAGGAGTTTTACTTTAACTTGACTTTAAGGTTTGACTGATGGAATGAAATTTACAAGTCAAACTTTTACCAATGAACTCAATGAATGAATCCTTTTTATCAACTTTTACCAATCTAAGAGTCGATGAGTAAATTCTTAAAGAATGCTTTAAGAATGCTTTAAGAATGCTTAGAGAAAGCTTCAAGAATGCTTAAAGAATGCTTCAAGAATGCTTTAAGAAAGCTTCAAGAATACTTCAAGAATGCTTTAAGAATGCTTAAAGAAAGCATAAAGCAAGCTTAAAGAATACTTCAAGAAAGCTTTAAGAATGCTTCAAGAAAGCTTTAACAACACTAGAATTGATCATACTATATCAATATATAGCAATATGATTAGAAATCGTTTAACTTTTCCTTTTTATTCTAGATTCTAAAGATATTTGATTGCTAAACGAGACTTGCTAAAGGTTAAAAACGTTCAAAAGCTTCAAAAACGTTGAAACTTTTAGAAGTTTTACTTGAAAATCTAAATCTTAGCTATTTATTTATCCAAATCACTCACCAAAGTCGGATTATAAACACAATTGATGCTTTCTTCACAGGAAGTCAGATTCGAATTCATTGTTTCAGAATTTTAGAGATGAGAATCGCTTAGAAATTATGAATTTGTTTCTCACAAATGAGGCAAATTTGTGAGCAAATGGGGGACTCTAACCTCTTTTTTTCCCACTTTTCACTTATTGCCTCATAGGTTCAAGAGGGGGAGTTCCCTTCACCTCCGTGCAAAACGCATTATTCTCCGTGGGGACCACTTGTGGAGCTCAAATGAAAATTACTCCCCATACTCTTTTGTTGATTCTTTTCGAAACGGTGATGACGAGCAAAAGCTCTATTCATTCCTAAGAATAACTTACGAATTCAATAATTCAATCGACAATCCTAGATTGTTTTGTGATGAGGATTGTGAAATTTGAGGCTAATTTATTGGGTTGGTGAATCGAAAACTGCGGGACTTTGAACTAGAATTTATTCAACATAAAACCATGAATTCATTCCAAATAATTTCCATTATTATTGATGACTTCTGCCCATTTTACAGGCAATTTGCGGATTCCTCTTTCGTAGTAGGATTTTGGTCCTGCGAAAAACTTTCAAAGCCAATTTTTGACTGCTTCTTCCGAATCGAAGTGTTCTCTCGCAAGCTCATTACGCATGATCCGGAATAAATAGTAATCAAAAGGGGCGAGGTTCGGACTGTATGGGGAATGCGCCAAAAGTTCCCAAACAAGGCTGTTGATTTTAGAGCGAGTCAGTTTTGCAATGTGAGGGCGCGCGTTGTAGTGGAGGAGAACGATCTTTTACTTGGATTTTGGTTTATGTGTGAGACAAGTGTGAGACTCAAAAATGGAGAACTGGAGATGTCCTGGAGATGATCAGTTTGAGCACTTGCCTC